TCATACATTTTCCATGCAAAATTATGTGGGTGCATAATTCCCTGGGGCATATCTGGTCCGTAGTTGACATGCTCCAAAGCTGAAGTGTTTATTCCAGTGGTTCAATTGCCTCTCATAGGGCTCATGAGTCAGGGCAGGACTGGCTAGGCAGGGCCTGAATGAGGATTTGGGGGGTGATGATGTTGCTGATGACGAAATCAGGGACCACAGGCGCATGGCACCTGCTCTCCATCACCCCAGGGAATGGAGAATTGCACAAGATGCGGTATTGTACACGCTGACCGCCTGAAAGTCAGTGGTGGTCCAGTCATGCACCAGATGCCCGTGTTCTGTGCATGTATGCATGTGCACGCCTACATGCACATTCCGTGGATGCCTCGAGTTGTGTTTGTTTCGGGGGGCGGGGCATGCATGTGCGCGCACACCCACACATACAGAACCCAGGCTTCTGGGGCCATGAGCTGGGGAGTGGGGGTGTTGACTTGGCCCACAACATCTCACCAAAACTCCCTAAGTGGCCCTCCAGCCCAAATAATTGCCCACCCTTGCCTTTCAGCTCCTGTGTGCTGAGCTGTGAATACACCATCTTCATAGAGCAGTTGAACATACTTTATCTTGGGACTGAGCAAGACTTCTTGCAGTTGCTTCACCTGCCACCCTGGGAGCCACAATAGTGCTGGGCACGAACTGGAAGGAGTAAAGCTGTTTTTCCTGTGCTTACAGTCTGTCTCCTTCAGGTGCTCTGTTGGCCAGCACTAATAGAATTACATATGTGCCTAAGTGTTTGTAGACTGAGCCTCTAAACATGTTCTGTCCTGTGAACTAATGAAATGGATACTGTGAGGAAAATAATTGTGATCCTGCAATGAATGATTTCATGGTGATGCATACTTATTAAGAAATTAAGAAATCCCAGTATTAAAGTTGCCCATACATGCTTGTGTATGTCTTCAAAACTATAATATTTTAAATGTAATGGCTAGAACGATAGGTAGTCTTCCCAATAGCCATGGAATCTGCTACCAACAGATAAGTCTCAGGTAAGTAATGCAAGATCAAGAGCAGAACAAAGGAATTGATTATTCACAAAAAGAGAAGCCAAAGACCACGTAGGATTGGCTTCCATGGTTTCAAGGCTCTACTAATAGAGATGATGTATAAGAAAAACATTGTTCTATCAGAGTGGTGTCTTAGATTTGCTTACTTATATCCATTGCTTACTTATATCATTATGATGTGTTGTGCTGTCTTTCTGAGATTGTTTCTTCCTTCCTTTGCCTTTTAGTAGAACTTTGGCTATAGCAGGAAGGCAGAAGAGACCAACCAAAGACTGGATAAACTTGAGTGATGTTGAGATTTGTTGCATCCCACATTCTCTTCAACAAATACATTCTATGCATCCTTCATGGAAATGGAAGTATTTGCAATGAGAATATGTAGAAGGCTTTCCACTATTGAAATGTAAATCTGTTCCATTGCTGCACAAGCATTTGGCACAGTTAGTACTTTTCAGCATTCCTTTCCCTACTGATCAAGTCCCACTTTGTGAAATACCTAAACCCGGCTGATAATCTTTCATCCCAGTAATTTGAACTGAAAGCTTGTTTTCTTTGGGTGTCTAATTTTGGGCTGCCAATCCTTATTAAAATTCTTGCGGCCTTCTCAAAGCCTCTGTTTCTCCTCTATCCACTGCAGAAAACATTCCTTTGTGGGGAGGACCTTGATTTTTATAACTTTCACAAAAATCAGTAAAGCTTTGCTTTTAAATTATAGAAAGTTGGCCTGGAAGGGACCTCAGGAAGTCATTTAGTCCAGCCCCCTGCTCAAAGTGGGATCATCCCTATCTAAACCATGTAGAAATTCTGGATTGACCAGAGGTGTAGGTTGTAGCCGTGTTGATCTAAGGACATAGGTAGACACGATTCTTTGGGTAAATCAGATATCTTTTATTAGATTAACTAAACAGTTGGAAAAATTCTTCTTAGCAGGCTTTCGGGTTTAAATACCCTTTGTCAGACTGCCAAGGCATCTGCAGTTGGTGTGTGCTCTTCCTGGATGGAATGAATAGTAAAGAGGCCAGAGGCTGGTGTGCATGCAAGAAAGCCAGTCAGTGAAGATGTAAATTGTCAGTGGGTGAGACACAGGGAGAGGGAGCAGGGGAAGGGGGATGAATGTGTAGCAGGTAAATAGTGGAGGGGTACCTGGGGAGTCAGATGTCAGGCAGGTTATAATGTGCCATAAATCCAATATCTAAATTTAGTCCATGATTTTTTGTATCCAGGATGTTGATGAAGTGAAGTTCTTAGGCCCATCTATGAAAACTGTTTTGTAAATTCCCTTTGAGGATTAGAACTGAGAGATTGAAGAGAGAGTGGTTTTCTTGTGAGAAATGTGCCCCCACTGGTAATTGGGCATTCTTGTCTTTAATGGATTTCCAGTGTGTGTTCATTCTGGTGCGCAGTTGTTGTTTGGTCTCTCCTATGTATTTTCCATCAGGGCATTTGGTGCATTGAATGAGATGTATTACATTTCTGCAGGTGCAGCTGTAAGATCCAGGAATGGTGATGGTTCTGTTGTGGGTGTAGTAATTTTGTGGGTGGTGGAGATATGTTGGCAGGTTTTGCATTTCTTGTCATGGTATGATCTTGATCCATTTGGTGTGCTTTGTGCTGTAGGAAGTTTGCTTCTAGTGATGAGGTTAGCGAGGTTCAGTGCTTGTTTGAAGGCTAGGATGGGTGATTTTGAGATCTCTTTAAGAATTGGGTCTCCTTCTAGTATGGGTTGCAATTGTTTGAGGATTTTCTGTGTAGGTTTAAGGGAGGGGTGATATGTCTTAACCAGCGGTGTGCAATTTGTGGGGGTTCTACTGTCCTGCAGCAATTTTTCATGTGATATCCTGGTGGCTCTTTCAAACGTGCAATCAGTCACTCTGGAGGAGCATCCTTGTTTAGTCAAAGCCTTTTTAAGATTTGTGAGGTGGCAATCCCAGGTGTTCTCAGAGCAAATTCAGTGGTATCTGAGGGCTTGGCTGTATATCATAGGTTTCTTGGTGTGTTTAGGCTGATTGCTTGTTCTGTGCAGATATGTATGTTGGTTTGTGGGTTTCTTGTATAACATGGTCTGTATCTTACCGTTCTGGATACCGATCATCATGTCTAAAAAGGAGATGTTGATGCTGGAATGTTCAAGAGATAGTCGGATGGAGCGGTGATGATTGTTGAATTTCTGATGGAACTCAATCACAGAATGCAGGTTTTCAGTCCAAATGATGATGTCATTGATATATCTTAAGTATAGCAAGGGTTTGATGGTGCAGCCCATGAGGAATTCTTCCAGGTGACTTATAAAAAGGTTGGCATACTGTGGGGCCATTTTGGTGCCCATAGCTGTGCCCATGGTCTAGAAGAAGTGTTGGTTATTAAAAATGAAATTGTTGTGTGTGAGGATGAAGTGTGTAAGGTCAGTAATATCTTTGGGTCTGTACTCTGAGTTGATATCTTGCTCTTGTAGGTATGTAAGGCACGCTTGGATGCCATCCTGGTGTGGGATGTTGGTATATAAGCCGGTCATATCCATAGCGGCTAAGAGGGTGTTGCTGAGAAGGTGGTCTATGTTTTTAAGTTTTTTGTAGAAAGTGTATAGTGTCTTGGAAAAAACTCGCTCTTTGTGTGACAAGCGGTTTTACGAGTGATTCGCCGAAACCTGATATTTCCTCAGTTAGGATTCCATGGTTGGATATGATAGGTCTGCCAGGGTTCCCTTATTTGTGGATTTTAGGGAGCATGTCAGAAGTCCCTGGATTAGGTATTGGGGGGGATCAAGGTCTGTAGTTTTTCTTGTAATTCTGATGGAAATGACTTGATGGTATTTTTTTGAGTTTCATGGTGAAAAGGGGAGTAGGATCTTCTTGTAGTTCTTTGTAGTAAGTGGTGTCAGAGAGTTGTCTGTTGGCTTCCTTTATGAATAGCATGGGGCTAGTCCATGGGCTGGATCGGGCCCTGTGCTGTCCCTGCACTTGAGGATTGGGCCCCAGGATCCCACGCTGCCTCCAGGTGGGCAGAGCCAGAGCTTGGTAGGGGCAGCACAAGCCACTGGGCTTTAATCCCAGCATGTTGGGGCAGGCAGGATAACTGTGGCTTCTCCTTTATCTGCCAGTTTTGTTGCTATTTGGCTGTTAGATCTTAGAGATTCTATGGCCTTTCTTTCTGATAGGGAGAGGTTGTTATGGTGGCATGTGTTGTTGATTATTTCATTGTTCATTCTTTGCCTGAAGCAGCCAATATAGCAGTCAAGGTTAGAATTTCATCCACTGTGAGGTGTCCAATCTGATGGGGTTTTTTGGGTTTTTGGGGGTTGATCTTATCCTCAATGTTGTCAGAGGATGAGTTGTCATTGAAAGTGGATTCATTTTGGTTGTGGAAATATTCCTTGAGGCGGAGGCATTGGAAGAATTCTTCTAGTTTTCCACTTTGAAGTATTGTATTAGGGTATTTTTCTGGACAGAAATTTAGGCCTTTAGAAAGGACAGATTTTTGAGTTTTGGTAAGTGTGTATGTGGAAAGATTGATATTTGAGGGTTGGTCGCTGCTTTCATTTTCATGAAGTCTGAGGCTGGAATGTTGTAAGGTGTTGGTGTTGTTTCTCTGATGGTTGTTTTGTGGCTGGGAAAGTTGTTCCTGGAGTAGTTTGTTCCGTTTCTTTTTTTAATGTTAAATGGATGTTGTAGAAAATTTTTCGTCGTTTCATTGTATCTATTCTAATATAATAAAAGGCATAGTCTGTCTGTTTATGTGTCTGTGTGTGTGTCTGTCTGTAACACTTTTGGGTAACTGCACATGTGCCTCTGAGAGGGTGGGCAGTGATTGCCTGTGTGGCCCAGGCTGCACGGGCCTATGTTTGAGCCGCTGCTGGGGAAGTTTGTGGCGGCGGCAAAGACGCCCCAGCCTCCCAAGCAGTGGGGCTTCCCCATGCCTTCTTGCCTGAGGGTGAAGTGGGGGATCATGGCGGTAGCGCCCTCCCGCCCCCCCACCACCTGGCCCCGACGCTCCCCAGAACAGCTGGCAGGAAGGGGGAGGAGGTGGACAGGAAAGGAGGACGGTGGACATGAGCCGGATCCGGAGTGCCTGGGGGGGGTATAGCAGGGACAGAACTGGAGCTCGGGGGGGGCAGTGGCGCAACGCTGGATGCGGGGCTCCGCCCCTGCCTGCCCCTCCTCATCGTTCTTGGCAGCCAATTTGCTAGTTGTATAATATTAGGGAAGATGTCTGGATTTTTCTCTTAGGTTGTATCATGCGTTGATTTCCTTCTTGAGTTGGTCTCTTTTGGAGTAGATTATGTAAAGAAGAAGATTTCTATTTTTCTCTGAAGTTCTCCTGCATAGCTGTGAAGCATATTTGGAGTTGTGTGTAGTAGTCAGAGGATTATGGATGTTTAGTCCTCTGGGAATAATGTTGTGTTTCTTGCATAGGCTTAAAAAATATATGTCACTGTTGAGTTTGGCTTCTTTCTTTTTCATGTTGTACAGTTTCCATTTCAGACGGCTGAATTCGATATCTTCCATGTTGCAGGGGTATAGTTGTAGGTTGGTCTAAAAACCTAGGCAGACAAAGTTCTTTGGGTAAAACTGATATCTTTTATTAGACCAACTAAATAGTTGGAACCCACTGACTTCTCAATTTACATTTTCATTGACCAGCTTTCTTGTACGCATATCAGCCTCTGGCGTCTTTACTAGTCATTCTCTCCAGGAGGAGCATACACCAACTGCAGATGCTTCCCAGCCTGACAAAGGGTTTTTAAACCCAAAAGCTTGCTAAGAATTTTTTTTTCTAATAAAAGATATCATCAGATTTACCCAAAGAACCTTTTCTGGATTGGCCAGATGCATTTCTCAAGACTTACTGTATTCATACAGATGGACAAAGAAATGCCATTGGTTTGAGTGTAGGCCTGTGCTTGCTTGGTCACCTATTATGGAAGACACCAGTCTACAAATCAAGGACCCATTGGCAAGGTTATATGTAAGAGGCTGTTAGCTTTGGAATTCATTTTCTCTACAATTGCCTTACTGGTACAGAGTTTCTTATCTTCTGACCAGGCTTCAATATGAAGGTTATCTTTCTCTGAGCATCTGAAGAGGTGGGAACAAGCTGGATTTTGGGCTTTGGGTTTTTAAGGTCTGTGTATAAGTCAGTGTCTTTGCTTTGCTGTCTTCTGATTTTTGGAGGGAAGAATGGTTTATTTACTCCTTTTGGTACCAGTAGAAGCTTAGATAAAAATGTATAGGTCAGAGATTTCAAGAGGTGCTGATAGGTGTTTTTAAATAGTCATAAGTATTGAGTTAGATTGTCAATTTACTGCTAAGATGAAGGAATAATGCTGGTTGTAAAGTCTTGTGTATTAAGTTTCACTAAACACACAGTTTGGAGAGATTTTAAAACTCTTGTTTTCTTTTTTGTTTCAAGTTGTTCCAATGCTTGAATTTTAACAAATTTAGCAGCTTCTGTCTTTAAAAATCACAGTGTTCTGTACCATTTGAAAGCAGAGTGGGATTTCAGCCCCTTAATAACAGTTTACCCCTAGGGAAGGGGTAAATTGCAGGCAAGAATGGGAGGCTTTTTAAACTGGTGGCCCTTGAACTCTTCAGTGAACTTAATTTCTCTCATCTAACCCTTATTAAACATTTGACTTCAGTACAGCCACAGAGCTTCAACAAGTTCAAGTTTACATCTTCATTAGACATTTTTTGTTCCGGATTTTTGAGCAGCCTGTTTTTCTATAATTCTTGTTACATGAGAGGCTTTTGCATTCATATGGAGAGGAGAGTCTTATGATATCAGACCGAAGATAAGACTAAAGAAAGCTTGCGTAGATAGAAAGGACTTTTTAACAGCAAATAATAAGGTATTCTGGATTGAAGGCCTTTTCCAAGATTGTAACCCTAACCTTTACTGCTGGCTTCCCCTAACTGTAGGTCCTGACAAATGATGAGCCAATACTCCACTGAACAAAACATTCAATAGTATTCGAGATACTACAAAATCTAAGGAGATGTAAAGAGACTGAGGGGCCCTGGTAGGGGAGTAGTCATTTTTCTTGGTCCCTTGCTGCTGCTGCTATGTTTTTTATTTATATGCTAGCCAATTGCCCATCAGTAATGACAAGTGGGAGGTATGGGGGGAACAGAGCGCTGCCACTCACCACCCCGCGCTGCTGCCATCTCCCAGGAGCGGGAGGGGTGGGGGGAGCTTGCCCCGCCATCCCCTCTGTCTCCCTTGGCCAGCACCCCTTGCTCTAGCTGCTCTGTCCCTGCCATCATGGCGGCACTCCGCTGCCACCACCTCCTGTCTGTAATGCTCTTGGAGCACTCTGTTTGGCTGTTTCAGATAACCAATCAGGATGCAAATAAAGCATTACAACAGACAGACAGACTAAGGCTTTTATAATATTAGAACTAGCTAATTGCGTGTCAAGAATGATGGATTTCAAGGAGTGTTTACATGGCCCCCCCTTTGCCCCGTGCTCACCCTTTGCGGCCAGCCATGTAAAGACTCCCTCTGCCGCCTCCAGTGCGGGGGTCCTTCCCCCCCGCCAACCTCTGCCTCGAAGCAGGGCTTCTCCCCCTCCCTACCAGCTGTTGTCACAGCTGGGTGGCGGGGGGGTACCTCCACCGTGATCCCTGCTCCTCTCCCTTCTTCCTTCCCTTCCTTCCTTCCCTGCCGGCCAGCCTTAACAACAGCTGCCACCATGACCCTCCCCTTTGCCTCCCCCATCCCCACTCCTGCCCGGGGTCATGCAGCCTCCCTCTCCTGCTGCCTATCCCTCTCTGCCGGCTGTTGTCGGGGCCCCCTTCCTGCTTCCTTGCCACCCAGCCCCAACAACAGCTACCACCATGACCCAGAGGGGCACTGCCTCTGTGACCCCTCCCCCTTCACCCTCAGTCAAGGAGGCATGAGGAAGGCCCATTGCTTGGGCAGCCAGGGTGTGTTTGACACTGTCACAAACTTCCCCGTCAGCGCCTCAAACTTGGGCCTGCGCAGCCAATCGCCGCCCACCCTCTCAGCAGCGCATGCACAGTTGGCCAAAAGTGTTCACAACAGACATGCAGACAGACAGACTATATATAGCCCTTTATATAGAGAGAATTTTAGCTATGTGCTCTCCACTTTGAACCAATGTAGTTCTTCAATTAAGGAGATAAGAAACTGTTTATGCTGAGAGTAGCATACATCTCGGAGCTTTACTGATGTCAGTAGGAGGGGAAAATACAAACTGATTAAATTTAGTGGAACTATTGAGACTTTATAGTCAATCTAATATTAATATGGAAAGATATATTAGATGTCCTAGAAGTCGCAAAACACAGATGTCTTGACAGTAAAAACAGATTGGCCACAGTGGCCTAAGCATAAAATTAGCCAAATGCTAATCTTGCACAAATGGGCAGAGAGGAAAAAAAGGTAGATTGTGGTACTGTTATTCTGTATTTGGGGAGAACTAATATTACATGTAGTATTCTACTGATTCTTGAGTTTCTTTCTTAAAATGTAGTTAAAAATTAAAGTTAAAACCTCAAACCACCCATTCAATTATCATGGACTTTGTGAAGTGGGTAAAACAGAGTGAGCTCACCAAATCTGAAAATGTGGTGAAGATGGTTTGTGCAGTTGCATGATGGTAATATTCAGTTTGGGGAAAAGGGCAGAAGGAAAAAAAAAAAAAAGAAAACCAATATTCTCTCTTCCTTCTTTGTAGATCACAGAGGCCTTGTTAAAGGAAAGAGACAAACAGGCTAAATGGAATGGAATTCCCCTACTGTTGCAGAAACTATATGAGAACAGCCACCCAAACAGCGACTTCTCCCAGTGCCAAAACATCCTTAAGGTAACATGTTCTCAGTCCCTGATTTTGAAATACAACTATTGTTATTGAAAACCAGGCTCTGTATTTTGGCATATTAAGAAACTTAACCTGATCCAATTCTGGCTTCAGTCCTTGAAATTCCTTTTATGTTCATGTTGATTATGTGGCATTAAGGGAGGGTCTTATGATATCTGTGAACTAGCATAAATAGAAAAGCACATAATTACTAGGGCTGTGTGAAGCTTTGGTCGCTGATTCGATTTGGTGGAGATTTGGCCTGATTCGGTGGCTGAATCTCAGAATCCGAATCAAATCAGGAGACCCTTTAATTTCTCCGAATCGAATTGGAACCCTTGAAATTGATTTGGAGAGATTTGATTATTTGGATATAGACACGGCTTTAAATGTTTTTTTTGTATGTACCTCAAGGTACCAGGTGGTTTGTGATTGCTGAGATGCTAGGGCAGATGGAGTGTCCCATGGGAGCACGGGGGAATCCCCAGCGCGCTCGGCGGTGGACCTGGAAGTGGACCAGAACCCAAGGTCCCCCCATGGCCGATCGCTGAGCCACTTCATCTGCCCCACCAGCTCAGCGTTCACGAGCCGCACCTGGTACCTCGAGGCATATATCAAAAACATTTAAAGCTGTATCTATCACCGAATCGCTGATTCTCTGAATCAGCATTGAATCTTCAGATTTGGATGTGGCCGAATCGAATCAGGACAGTGATCAGAATCAACTAATCGAATCACTGTCCCCTTATTCAATCCGAATCGAATACAGCCCGTTTCGCACACCCCCTAATAATTACACAGGAATTGTTTGCTCCTCCAGACTATCCAGGGCTGTTACAGAAATGCTACAGTATGAAAGTTTTATGAGTGAACACATGTGGGTTTTTCCTTACAGGAAATTTCTCCACTTCTTTCAGTGGAGGCCATGGCATTTGTCACAGATGATAGAAAACCTGCTCAAGAGTCCACTTACCCAAACACATACACATTTGATCTGTTTGGAGGAGTAGATGTAAGTGTTCTGCGTTTGCTTGTTTTGGTTTGGTTTGGTTTGGTTTTTTTTGGGGGGGGGTGGGGGGGAGTTAGATATGACTATAATATAGTAATCTCTGAGGAATTTTGATAGTAAACGATGCAAGAATGTTTCAGTCGGACATTTGGAGGATTTATAAATGCAAACAGCTTTGAATTGGAAGCTTTTTTCTTTCTTTCTTTCTTTTTTTTTTTTTTGCTGTCATATGATGTGGGAAATCTTTCATGAAATCAGATGCCTAGTTACTAGCCAAATTGCATGAACCTAGATTTTCCAGACTAATATGTGGTTAAAAGCAAGAAACTCCCTACTCTTCCAATCCCCATATGTGGTATGAAAGACTTGGTAAGTTTCTGGTCTAGATCTTGTGACTTTAACAACAGTACCTTACTTTATATTGCTGACTGATATGTCAGTGTGATCTACAAATTCTTGGTAGTGGGTAAACAGTTAGCAGATCAAGTTAATCATTATTTCAAGTAAGAAGTTCCGGATCATTTGTATATCTTGCATAATTTGAAAAGAAAGGAGTCGTATAAATATTTTTAAGGATCCCAATTTCTGCTAGGAACATTTGTAAGCTATTCAGGTAATACTTAGTATGTCTCAAGTGCGTTCTGTCCAGGAATCTCAGTGCCCTGAGTACTGTGCCATTGTCAAAACATGGGTCTGGGGGTGGAATTTGAGCGAACAAGTTCAGTGGCGTGTATACGGTCAACATGACATTTCATTAATTCACAATCCATTTGCTCTTTAACTACAAGATGGGTTTCTTTACTTGGAAAATACTTTAAATATCAAAGCCAAACCTTTAATTGTTATGAGATTTGCTGGACTGAAAGTAATGCTGCTAATAAGTTTATTTCTACAGGATCATATGCTAGCAAATAGCTAGACAGATGCATAGCTAGACAGATACATAGCTGTCCTAATAAACTGGGGTTTGACTGCCTCTGCCCTGGGAGCTGCGCGCTGGCTGTTCTGCATTCTCTGCCCGCCCAAAGGTGGGAGGCACAACATGGTGTTGCGCAGCTCCCAGGACAAAGGCAGCAGGGTGCAGAGCCCGAGCCTTCAGCAGGCAGCCCACCTCTGCCCTGTTCACAAATCTGGTGGGACATGCTCCCAATGCCTCCCCTGGGGAGGGGGGGTGCAGTGATAGGAAGCCCCCCATACCCCTGAACGAGCCTCCCATGGCTCCGTTCCACTACCTGCCCTGGCCCCAGGGTACCATTCATCCAAGTCCCTGCCCCACTCTGTCCCTCACCGTGGGGGCCTCAATCTGTTCTCCCTCCCCCCCCATCCCCTCCACAGACTTACCTACATGCTGCCGAGCTGTATTCCTGGCCACAGGCAGCCTATGCGCTTGGACAAAGTGTTCCAATATGGCACCAATATATTGGCACACCTCATATCCCTTACCTCATATTCCTTATTAGGAATATACCTGCATGTCTAGAAGAGATTGTGCATCTAACTTCCAGTCTTTTGTTTCAAGAGGGAAGAAGGGAGGGTTCGCTTAAAACCAAGTAGTAATTGTTTAAAATGAAATTGAGACAGTTTTATTTCCTAATTCTGTGGCGTACTTCACTAATACAAGATTTCTCAACTATATGATAACAGGACTTAAGCTGTTGCTTTTGCCTTTCTCAGACATTGGTAATTTTCTTAACCCGAATCACTAGCTGATTCACTTTTTGCCTGACTTTTTCTGCTTTTTTCCATTTTGCTGTTTTAAGCTAACTGCCTCTTTCCTTTAATAATACATTTTGGGGGGGGGGGGGGTTAAATACTATTTTGTTTGAAATAGGCTGTGCTGATTTTGGTTCCTATCATGTAAAATCAGTAGAACATGAAAATCATCAGTTACTCAAATGGAGGCATTTAAAATGCTTTTATATGTATTTCTAATTTTTTTTATGGAATTTAGGCTTTTCATACAAGAACTTTTAAAAATGATCTATGTTTAATGCTTGTCCAAAATTTCTTCTATGAAGGATTGCAAAGCAAACTGCAGTGTTGGTAGGAAGCTGCTCTTTTTTCCTGCCAGGCTTTTTCTTTAAATCTGATGTTTTCACAGCTACCTGCTGTTACCACCAGGGAATGAAACAGTAGAGGGGTTTTCAGTAATATTTGGAGTTCAGCTAACTTTGCTTCTCCAAGTCAATGGTACAACTCATACTAATTTCAGCAGTTTGGCCAGTGCTGAGTGCTTTTGAAAAAAATGAGGATATTTCAAGTGAGCAAGCTAAAAAAGCAGTCATGGTAATCTTCTTTTACTCCTTATGATGTCCTGATCTACCAAGTACTACAACAAGATTATGGAAACATCTTCTTTTCCTCTTTCAGTTTGCTTATTTATGTGCATTTCACAGAACATAAATGTGTAAATGGTTGCCTCTCTGTTCTCCATTTTCCTGCTGCTTGTTTTGGTTTTTCATTTGGTAACAGGAGCAGAAAATAATGTTTTGAGCTTGGGGTTAGAGGAGAGATTGGATCAGGTAGAAGAAAACTCATAGTTTTCAGGGCTTTGTAGGAGATGCAGTACCTATGGGCTCCTATACACATGCATGGAGCCTGCTCCAGCACACTGGACGTCCAGCCAGTTGAAACAGACTCAATTAATTGTGTGCTGGAGCACAGAAATTGATGTACTCTGGCAACCTTCCACATCATGTATATCAGCCTCAGCCTGACTTCTTTCAAAAACAGAAAAAGAGCTAAACATTTATTTCAGACCATTGGAAGTGACTTTGATTCTAATGGTTCACTCTCACTATTTGTCACAACTTCTAGAAGGATTTCAATAGATTTTGGATTGATATTAGTGTTTGGCATTAAAAGTCAATAAGGCAATTTGCTGTATTGATTATTTCTATTAAGATGACTCCACCATCAATTAATTACCTTATCTTCACAGCTTCTAGTGGAAATTCTTATGAGGCCAACTTTGATTACACAAAAAAAGAAACAGAAAAGTAAGTGCATAATTTATAGGATCTTGTATGCTTGATTTTACAGGTTCTTGGTCTCCTTCTCCAGAGAATTTACAGCAGGGGTGGGCAAAGTATGGCAAAATATTAGAAAATTAATATTTATCTGCCCCAGCTGTTTGTCAAAGATAACAGCAGCCAGGGGCAATAGGACCCAAGGGAAGCCCTGGTAGGCTCCTGCAATAGCAGGGCCTGCCCAGCCCCGCCCCCCAGCCAGAAGCCCCTGGCTAGCAGAGGCTTCTGGCCTGGGACTGTGGGGCTATTTGCATCTCCCTGTCCCAAGCGGGAAATTCAAGTAAGAAGGGGATGGGAGGTGGGCAGTGGGCAGGAAGGTGGAGAAAGCGGGAATGGGGAGAATGGAAGCTAGCGGGCATGCAGGAGCGTGGGGCCCACACTGGTGTCCCGAGGCCAGCCCTGGCGGGCCCCAGAGCAGGACAGCAGGAGCATGGGGCATGGGCTGGCAGGGGTCTATGGAGCCAGGCTGCACTGTGCCAGCAGGGAGAGAGGGGAGTTGGCCCAGCTCCATAGAGCCCCAGTCAGCTGGGACCCTGCGCTCCTGCTGCCTGCTCTGGGCCCTGCCGGTGCTGGCCCCGATGCACCAGTGCAGGTCCCGTGCTCCTGCCTGGCTGCCATGTGCCTGCTCGCTCCCATCCCTGCCTGTCCCAGCCCCATGGCATCGGCGAGGATGACCACGAGCAGCCCTGACCCTGCCAACCCTGCACTCGCCCATCTGGGCTGAGTAGCGGTGGCAGTGGGGAGCAAGCTGCTGCTCAGCATGGGGGAGAGAAAGCAGCTCCTTCCCCTTCCACCACCGATGCTCCCTGAGGCAGCCGCCCAGAGCCCGCACAGGGCTGTCCTGACTCTCCGCCATGTCCCCGCTGCCCATGGGGCAGTGGTAGCAACAGAGAGCGGGCATAGGCAGCCCCGCGTGGGTTCCAAGCGGCTGCTGCAGGGAGTGCCAGTGGCGGGAGGGGGAGCGGCTGCTTTTCCCCCAGCCCAGCAGCAATTCGTGCCCTGCCGCTGCCATCGCTCAGCCGGTCGGGTGAGCCTGGAGCCGCCACAGGGCCCAGGCTGGCAGCAGCGGTGACAAACTGCAGCTGAGCACGATGGGGAAAGCACCCTCCCCTCCCACTGCCACTGGGCAGTCTGCTGGAGCCTGCTCCACACTAGGCTCTGCTGCGGCTCCTTCGTAAAATTTTGCAAAATTTCCTTGGCTGTTTCATTTCGACACTGCTTCGACTCGTTTCGAGCTCAAAACAGCAAAATCAGAACGAAACAGAAGGGTTTCGTTTTGAGTTTTGAAGTAGCAGTTAGGTTGGGGGAGGCAGGGGAGAGCCAGGGATGCGCTCCCAGTGGCTCTGAGCAGCCTCATGTGGCTCAGCCTGGTGGGGAGCGCAGCCCTAGCTCTCCCCACCTCCAGCTGCTTGACTGTGCTCCAATGGGCTCTACCAGCCCCATGGAGCTCAGCCTGGTGGTAGGAGGCGGGCAAAGATGGGGCTGCATTCTGCCTCCCACAACCGGGCTGAGTTCCGCAGGGCTGTGAGCCGCTGGATGCTGAGCCAAGTGGAGGGAGGCAGAGTGCAGCCCCGGGAACTGTGCCCCACCCCACTCCACTTGGCTTGGTTCCTAGGTGCTTGCAGCCCAGTGGAGGGACGTGGGGCACAGCAAATAGACATCCCTACCCTTTGTTGTGCCATGTGACAGGAAAGTCAGTGGTGCAACAAAAAGTAGTAATAGACTGCTTCTTTGTTTTGGCAGATGTCTGTTTCGTTGTGGCTTTTTCTTGCTGTGCCAGACTCATGCTGTGGGTCTGGCTGGGTGGGTAAAAGTGCTTTCCTGCTCAGTCAGCCCTGTGGAGCTGACTGGGCAGGGGAAGACCCTGCTTTCGCCATTATCCTGTAGTTCGGGTCTGGCACAATGGGAAGCAGAGAGATCACATCACGTCATGGCACAACTGAATTGCTCCATTCAGTGACTTCTGTTTCATAGCCTGAGATAAAGAGCAATATTTCCAAACTGTATTAAAAGGAACATGCCAAAGCAAAACGGTCACTTCAGAGCAGTTTTTCTGCTGGTACAGCTCAGGTGTAATACTTAAATTTTTCATTTTCTGCGTTGTTGATGCTCTTTGATCTTTATACTATCAAGGTATATCCCTTGCTTCTCAAACTAATAATTCAAAAGTAAAGGTGGAATCTGTCAAAAGCTCCTTCTACCCCAAGATGCCTTATTCGTTCTGAACAAAAATCTTGACGGAAACCACATTCTTGGGGGAAAGGGGGTTAGAAGGCTGTTGCTTCAACAGAGGTTTAGAAATGGAGCTGTACTAATGTGCCCTAAAACACTTCCTCCAACCTGTAAACTTCTTGGACTAGACTGCTGTGTTCCATTAGTAACTTACCTGCAAAACACCTTGCTTATTTTATATCTTGATTTCAGATGGTCTTACTGACTTTATAAATGTGATACAAAGTGCTCTGTGGCTGTAGTTTATAAAGTAACAGTCCAGGAAACTATATTTAATTGGCGTCTTTCTTCTGCTTTGTAGTAAGTGATGACCTGATTAAGGACTGTTTGAGCATATTGTATAACACTTGCATATGCGTAAGTATAAACTTTTCATGGCAAACTCATTACATACCTCAGTGTTGTCTGTATGTAACCTGGTAAGGAAATCAAAATGCATGCTTTAAAACCCAAGTTTAAAGAGAAAAAACTGGAATGGTTTTAGAGTTGTTTTGCAACACTTGCCAAAGTCTGGTTACCTATAAGACTTGCAATATTCCCTCCCTCCTTCACTCATGTTTACTGAAGTTATGTCTTATTTATAGGCATTTCAGTAATTCTGAAGCATCTGTGTATCTAGTAATTCTACCATGCACTGTGGGTGTTTGTCTACATGAAAATGTTCCCATGAGAGAGTTATTTTCAGCTCTTGTACTTGGAAATTGAAATTTCAAAATTAGAAAGAAATGTGTGCCTACATTTTAACCTGAATGGTTTGTGCCCTGTTCAGTGTTGGCTAAAAATGTTTTAGGTCTGATCCTGTAAATATTTTATGTGCAGAACATCCTTTTGTCAATCAGCGAAAGTTCAGCCCTGAGGAAGGGCTACAGGTTAGAGACACACAGAGATAATTTTAAAGGCAAGTTAAGAAGCCTAAATTGCATGTATAATATGTTTTTTAACATTTGTTACAAGTAACAGATATTCAGTATTTCATACTTAGTCCTTTGAGTCCAGTATATAGATTATTGTAATCCTGGGAAACTTTATAATACAGTAATGATTATATGGTCTTGGGTGGTCATTGAGTGGAAGCAGTTTCAGAGAAACTGGCTTTCTCTTGAAAAATATTAACAGGTGATGTTCTCAGAATACTAGTGGAGAGGGCAACAATGAATATATATATCCACATTTTTATTTTTATTTTTTTCTCTTCAGTCAAATAAAACTGACCAGCCAACTTACTAAAATATTTTGTTATAAATAATAAAAATAAAAATTCCAACTCATAAAATAACTGCTGGCTGATTTCAGTGTTTGTGCTGTCTGGAGATTACTTCAGGATTCCACATAAACTATTTTTATAGCTAAGTTATAAATAGAAAGTGCATCAGTTCAGTATCACAGTAGCAGTGGCACAAGTGCAGCAAGAGTAGGTCACATTTTTTTCCAGCACTCTTAACAGAACCCTTTGGAATAAATTATAATGATTCAAACAAACATCCTGGCCTCAGATACTGAAATGAAATCCTGACCCTTCTGAAAACTATGCAAGTTCTGTCAATGATTTCATTAGAGCCAGACCCTGTTGCTCAAAATCTACTTAGCTGACAGCTTTAGTATTTCTGGCAAAAGTCTGAGTTCAGTTTTTATAAAATATCTGATAGAAGTTACTCCAGTATGGAGGTAAGGCATAGAGCTAATGTAGGGCCCAGGCATTTAATTTTGATTCAAGTAGTGAAGCAGTTCAGATTAGGAAGGCGGCTTTCAGACTACGGCATGAAGTTTCTGAAGACCTCATGTTAGTCTCAGGTGAGATCTAGTTGCTAGTGTCAGTCACTAAACTATACCTCATCTAGCCACAGGAGTAAGTGAGAAATTTGTCACATCTGATTTGGTAGTGCTAGGTTCTGTCATGTATGGGGGCATGTTAACTATTCCTTACCATTCCAGACGGAAGGAGTCACTAAACGATTGGCAGAAAGAAATGATTTTGTTTTGTTCCTATTTACACTGATGACAAACAAAAAGACATTCCTGCAAACAGCAACCCTTATCGAAGACATCCTGGGAGTTAAAAAGGTTTGATAACGATTTTTTTTTATAACCCCAATTGTGTGACTATTTAAGAAATTTCGGAATTCCTTTGTAATCAACCTGTTAGGGCTTCAAAGATGCTGATCAGTGTTAATCAAAATTGTTTTAATGAATCAATGAACCACAACTTTTTGCATGAACTACAACTTTCATATAGGTGAGGTAGCAGCTTTTTATGAGGAGTGTTAATAGCTACATAAGCCAAACAGTCTATTTTACAAACTAAGAACAAGTCACCTGCAATTCATTCATATAAGAAACTTATTTCTGATTTCCCCATGTGAGGTTTTTAGTAGACCTCCTGACCAGATGCTTCTTCTCTGACCTTCCACTTGCACTGTTTTGCTCTTCTGGGATCATTTGGAAGTTGCACACTAGAAAAAAAAGTAAGGTTCCCTGCCATTAGTGCCTATTCACAAACCTAGTATGAAACAAATTTGCCTTTTGTTACCATGTCATGTTTTATAGATAAAGTACTGCCTGAGACCATGTATTCTATCCAAGATTCTGCCATGTTTATATTTCAGGTCACATCTACCTGCATCTTGGAACTGGCTCGGGGACAACTGTTGTAACTTGATGCAGTTTTATTTGTTGAACTGGGGGCTTTGTTTAGCCTTATTACAAACTGAAAAACATATCAAACTAAACTGCTTTCATATTATCCTGACAAGAGCTTATTTGCTAAAAGTTGGCAAAAAGCATGTCCCATGGTGGCTCTTAGGTTGATCTCACTTGCTATCTGCAATTTTATGAAGTGTTGTTGAATATTAGAACAATGCTGTCTTATAGGTACACAATAAATTTAAAATATTTTGACACAAGCTTTTATACTTGTGAGTAAAAATACTACTTCAAATAATGCAGTTTTGCTATTTTTTTTAAAAAACAGACAAATAATAGTGTGAACAATGAAAGTAAGCTTCAGTCCCCTCTACCCAAACTTGTATCAGACAGTTCCCATCTATTTAACTTAATGAACTTGGAGGTACAGAACAAATTAATGAAACTTCAGAATAGTTTAGCTTAGTCTTTGCTTAAAAGTTCACTGAAAAATATAGTGTAAATTTTGCATCTCTGGAATTGGTAAACACAAGGAATCATAATTACAGATTGAATTCACAGCTGTATTTTGGACTCTTTACCTTCTGCTGTCCATATACCCCTTCTATCCCATTAACACAAGAACACAAGAAGTGCCATACTGGGTCAGATCAGTGGTCCATAGCCCAAGATTCTGTCTCTGATAGTGCTAGGGGTGGATGCTATAGAGGGAGAGCATTGAACCAGATACAGGTACTCCTTACTTAACGTCGTCCCAGTTAACATTGTTTTGTTTTTACGTCGCTGATCTATTAGAGAACATACTTATTTAAAGTTTTGCAATGTTCAGTTATAACATTGTTTGGCTGCTGCCTGCTAATAGGTAAGTACTGTGCCGTAGTTGGATTTGCTTAACATTGTTTTGCTCAAAGTGACATTTTTCAAGAACGTAACTATGACGTTAAACAAGGAATAGCGGTATAACTGAAGTGATCTTTCACCTATTCAGTACCCTCCCTGGCATCCACCATTACTAGTTTAGATATGCCAAAATAAACATCTGCAACTGTTCCCTTCAACAGCAATTATTAGATCTATCAACCATGATATACAGATCTATCATCCATAAAATTAAACTGAAAAAAAGTTCCTGTCAGGAAAATACAACCCACCTCAACCCACTTCCCTTGGCTTTTTCTTTTTTATGTTCCTTTGTGAATGCTCTTATTTAAAAAGAGCTTTGGGGCGTATTATATCAGATCATCAACCAATCATTTGTCTCATCTAGGAAATGATACAGTTAGATGATATACCCAATCTTGCAAGTCTAGTATCCAGTTTTGATCAACAGCAACTTGCAAACTTCTGCAGAATCCTCGCTGTCACCATTTCTGAGCTTGATACGGGGACTGATGACAAGCACACACTTCTTGCCAAAAATGCCCAGCAGAAAAAACATTTGGGTCCTTCCCGAGCTGAAATTAATCAAGGTAAAGGGTCACAGCTTCTGGCTTGCTGCCTCTAATTATGACAGTATGGACTTGTTTGCAAGACATACGTATTGTGTGTAGAATTTTTTTTTAGGTGATGTTGTAGGTAGCCTGCATTTGATAAGTCTCTTTCTGTTCTATGTTCCATGGTTTGGTTCTCAAGAAAACTATCTTATTACTTGTTGACAGTGTGAGAGTGGAGGGTCACTCCCAGCTCAGTCTCCCTTTAAACTCACCTGCCACGACTTAAATGAAAAAGAGGGAGTCAGTGATGGTATCTGAGCAAGGAATCACTACACCCACCTGGATAGTAAACTCTCACACAGTAGCCTTTATTTACACAGCAGGAGTCTGTATTGTGACAGTCTCCTCACTAATTACCTCATTAGCAAGGGCATTCCAAGCCACAGATAAGGACTCTAGATAGCTGAGGGATACTTTGTAATTGCCAGAGTCTCTGGGGTTTAAAAAGCCTTAAGAGCGGAATATGCTCTCCGCATCTCTCACGGCTCATGCTGGAAGCTGTCCTTGCTGCTCCCTTGCTTGTTTGAATTGCCGGTCTGGTATCTTAGCTGCCTTCACAAGTTGGTTGCTCCGTCTAGCTCCTGCCGCCTGAGCCCTGTCCCGAAGCCTCTCTCTTTAGCTCTTGGGGTTCCCAGAAGAGCTGTGTCCCAGAGCCTTGCAGTCTTTCCCCACACTCACCAGATTGGTTGGGGTTCCCGGTGGAGTATTTAGACTTGTGGTGACCTGTTGTTGTCCGGAGTTCCAAGATTCCGGCTTTCCTTGGGATCACAGGTAAGGTTTCTCTTCTTCCTTCTTCCAGGGTCCCAGTGGTCTCTCCTCCAGTGCCCGAAGGCAAAAGGTGTTTGCCCCGTGGCTGGATGTATGTCACCCATGGCAAGCTAATCATCCCACCCCTCCCTTGATGTGAAACTCCCTTCACCTGGCAGGGTGCAATCGTGGGTCATCCTCACCTGAAACCCATGCAGCAACAGGGCTCATGCCTGAGCCCCTGTTACAGACAGGAATAATTTTAGTGCGCTGTATGTAATCTTCATAGACTCATGCTCCCTTGAAATTGACTAAGGTGTTCTAAAAGCAGAGACTCAGGATGTCTCAGTGTATAGCTATAGACTGTTCACTTATTTTCTACGTAGGAGATATAGAATGGTGTAGCGCCTTGGAACTAAATGCCAAAAGGAACCACTAGATCACCTTGTCTGACCTCCAGGATTTTTAATTTGTTAAATTTCACTATTTCTATTGAGTCAGATAACCTGGGTTAAGCCAAAATATTTCAACCTTCAGGAGACTAAATTATTGTGTGCCACATTCAGAGAACCGAAGAGATACCCCTGCAAAGAGGGAGAAATCTTCCTTAATCCCAGTGAGCCAAAAAAGTTGTGCCATAGATGACACAAGCATGTTGAAAGCAATGCAAAACTTTTCTCTCCATTTCCAATGGCGTTTACATAGAAATAGACTCCAAGGCCAAAACAAACTTCCATGACCATCTAGCCTAACCATTCTCTCTACCTTCCACTTGTACAATCTCTAGAAGGCTAGTCAAAAAAAATATTTATCTCTGTTTTTAATAAATTATCTAATCTTACCTTAAAGATGCCAAACAATGGTGAGTCCACTATCACGTCTGCTAACGTACTGAGCAACTTCATAAAACAATGTATTCAATTAAAATATAATTGAAGGTAAGATGAACTGACCTCAGGTTTTGCAGTGTTAAAAGCCCTTTGATATCCAGGGAGGCAAGCTGAATGTGGCTCTTATCCTGCAGTGCTTGATTTGAAGCATGTGAGTAGCCAAATAGGTGAGTAAGCACATGTTTGCTGATTTGAGCATTGGCATGCTTTCCAGGAGCAGCATGTACATCAACTACTCTTTAGAAGTGTTTACTTGAAAACAGCTTATTCTTTAAGTTCAGCATCTGCATTCTGAAATGGTACTGTTCAGGGAATAATAGAAAATTAGGGTTGGAAAGAACTTCAGGGGGACATCTAGTCCAATTCGTTGCTCAAATCAGGACCATCCTCAACTATATCATCCCAGTCAAGGCTTTGTGTAGCTGGGTTTTGAAAACCTCCAAGGAAGGAGATTCCACAACCTCTCTATTACAGTGCTTTACTAACCCTCCTTGTGAGAGAGTTTTTTTCCTCATATCTAACCTAAACTTCCCTTGCCACAACTTAAGACCATTGCTTCTTGTTTGATTATATGCCACTGAGAACAGTCTAGCTCCAACCTCTTTGGAACCACCCTTCAAGCTGAAGGCTGCTATCAATACCTCTCAGTCTTCTCTTCTCCAGACTAAATAAGATCATTTCCCAGCTCATTTCCTACAGCCTTTCCTAAGAAGTCATGTTCCCCAGCCCATTAATCATTTTCATTGTCCTCTGCTAGACTTTCTCCAATTTGTCCACATCCTTTCTTGGGGGGGGAGTTAAAACTGGGCACTGTACTCTAGATGTGGCCTCACCAGTGCTGAATAGAGGGGAATAATCACTTTCCTCCATCTGCTGGCAGTGCTTCTACTAATGCAGTCCAGTATGCCGTTAGCCTTCTGGAGAACGAGGGCACACTGTTGACTCATAAGCTTATTGTCCACTGTAACCCCCAGGTCCTTTTCTGCAAAGTACCTATTTTACTAGTCGATCCCCAGACTGTACCGGTACATGGGATTTGCTGTATCCCAAGTTCAGGACTTTGCACTTGTCCTTATTGAGCCTCTTGAGATTTCTTTTGGCCCAATCCTCGAATTTGTCTAGGTCGCTGAATCCTAGCCCTATCTTCCAGCATATCTACTACTCTCTCCAGCTTGGTGTATTCTGCAGAATTGCTGAGGGTGCACTTGATCCCATCTTCCAGATCATTGATGAAGATATTGTACAAAACTGACCCCAGGATCAACCGCTGAGGCATTCCACTTGATACTGACTGGCTACCAGCTAGACATTGAGCCATTGATTACTACTGTAATAGATTACAGTCTGTTCATCCAAACCGTACCTTAGCTTGCTTGCCAGAATGTTGTTGGAGACTGTATCAAAAACGTTGCTAAGGCCATGGTACATCACATCCACTGCTGTCCCTGCATCCACAGAGCCAGTCATCTTGTCATAGAAGACAATCAGGTTGGTCAGGTATGACTTGCCCTTTTCCTTGCCCTCTTCCTTTTTCCCTTTTTGAAAGATGGGCACTATATTTGCTCTTTTCCAGTCATCCAGGACCTCTCCCAGTCACCACAAGCTTTCAAAGATAATGGTCAGCTCTGCAATCACATCAGCCAACTCTCAACACCCTTGGGTACATCTTGTCTGGCCCTGTGGACTTCTATACATCTGGATTTTCTAAATAGTCCATAACTTATTTTTTCACCACTGTTGGCTGTACACCTCCTCTCTAAACTGTGCTGCCAGGTGCAGAAGTCTGGTGACTGACTTTGCTTCTGAAGACTGAGGTAAAAAAAGGCACTGAGTACTTCAGCCTTTTCTGTATCATCTGTCACCCTTGTAAGTCCCGTGCTAGCTGCATTTCAAATTGCATTTTAGCTTTCCTGATTTCATCCCTGCATGCCCGAGCAATACTTTTATAGTCCTCCCTAGTAGTTTGTCCAAGTTTCCGCTTCTTGCAAGCTTCCTTTTTGAGTTTTATCTCACTTAAGAATTCCCTGCTAATCCAAGCTGGTCTTCTGTCATATTTGGTAGCTTTCCTGCATATTGGATTGGTTCATTCGTGCTCCCTCAGCAGAGTTTATTTAAAGTACAGTCAGCTTCTGCTGAACCTCTTTCCCACCCCCCTGCCAGAGGTCACAAGCTTCAAGCTTTCACCTTCCTGGGTGTCTGTCCTCTTCCTTCTCTAGTGGCACCTTTGGCAGTCCTTCTTCCAGAGTCCTAGAGGTCTCCTCTAGCATTGAATAAATGAACCTCCTCATGGCTGCGTATGCTTTGAAGCCTCAGCACCTCTTCCTGTAGCTCTCTTACCTGCTTTCTAAAGTCTCCAGGAGGCACTGCTCATATTGCAAGCACTCCCCAATCTGGCTGTTGCTGGAAGGAACTTGCAAACCATAGTCCCTGCAGTGCCAAACAACGACTTGGGTGGAAGCCTCACTGGTTTGTGGTCCTGCCTGGAGACACCTCACAGGTGCAAGCAGAAAAAGAGCTGGCAATGACAGTGGCTATGGCATTGAAGCATCCTCAAACCATCTCTCTGGGTCTCTTAAATCTGCTGCCTATCTCTTCCTGTCCCTCTTTCCAAGCAGAACTTCCCTAGCAAGCTCTCCTGTAAACTGGCCTGCTTTTTGGTTGCAAAAGGTTCCATTTTCCTTGCTAACCTGCTTCCTTTCACCAAGCTTACAGTGAAGGAAGGTGAAGGTTTCTGGGCAAACTCCCTAGCTAACTCCCCACTGGCTCTAGTCTGTAGTTTAGTAAAGGACTTAAGTATGCTCTAACTGCTAAATTTTAGATATACACTGATTGTGTAGATTAGTTGCTCTTAATTAAAGAAAGAACTTACCTTAAAAGGTTCCCCTTCAAAGAGGGAGGTGGCAAACTATGAATTGACTTGTGAATGGCTTATAAACATGCCCAAACACACAGCCCACCAAACAAACACTCACCAAGACAGACAGCCCTGGCGCACTTACCTTCCAGGAGCAGGATCTGGTGCCTGGCTCCTCTTCCTCTTTCTCCTCTTGCTCCCAGCAAACTGCTTTAAACTTCCATGTTTGCTGTGCCTGTTCACTCACCTTGTTATTAATTGTTTACCATCTCAGTCTTTTAAAACAGTTCTTCTGGGATTAGGAACCTTGACTTACATGTGTGCCGAAGAATGAAGATCTAGTCATGAAATTATAACAAATAGCTTTGTATCAATCAATAAAATCCCAGTAAAATATGTTTTTGTGAAAACTGCCTTCAGTGTAAAGCTTACATGCTGTTCGTACTTGATACCAAGATAAACTTACACTGACTGATGGCAGCATCCTTATCT